TGACGACATCTGTGGGTAAGTGTACAGCCCGCCCTATAATCACCGCTTCAAATTCCATTGCCACTCTGGTCATTGTTCATGATTGCCGTCTATATGAAAGCACTTCTTGCGTGAATACCGAGCCGTGATTAACATCTGTGTGAAGAGCGTAACATTTGCTACTAACTCGGGCACTGCTAACAATGAGAAAAACCAGCAGCCTTATCTCTGTATAACCGGTGACTTGCAGCGCTCGCGCGACCATTCGTTACTGGCGACTAAAAAGCGACTGATGTTCACACCGGCAGAGGCTGCATGCGAGTGACCGGAAGTCACGAGAGTGAAGAGTCACGTCTAAATCTTGTTATCAACGAGAACTATAGAGACCGGCGCCGATCAGCTGATCTCCGCCAGCTGAGTCAACGGAGCGAACCGAGCGCACCAGATTTATTGTTTTCGCCCGTTCTCGCACAGCGCTGTCAAGAAAATGAGCATCGCTGATTGGTTTCAGCAGCTTTGCGACTGCAGTCGCGCGACTGAAAATCGGTCAGAAAGCGACAAGCCAAATCAGTCGCTTTGCGACCGTTTGCGACCATTCGCGACTGTTTGCTCCTGGTTGCTACCAGTCTCAAAAGGTCGCGCCACCACTGCTAGTCACCGGTAAGCACCAGCCTTTACGTCTGCCACCGAGTTGCCTCGTACCCGTGCATCACGACAGCCTGACGCTGCAATAGTGATCCTTCAACCACTTGCGCTTTCTCCCCCCCCCCCCCCCCTTGCCGAGTATCCTACTAGAAATTTTTCACAAACAAAACATTTCTTTCACGTCGTCATCACTGAGGTAAGTTTAGAGGGAAAGAGTACGCCTACACAAGCAAGCCTAATGTGTTAGTGATCTCGTTCTTTTGAGTCTTCTAGCCGCTGAGGCAACGCTGCTATTCGTTAAATTTCGTTACACATCGTGAATTACTTTCGTGTTGGGAAGTGGACAAACTAAAGCTTACCGATTTGTCAATTAATCAACAATTGATCAAAACAAGTAAAATTATTCTTTTTTGTATCACACGTTTTGTATTAAGGCAGGAACACGCACAAAGTGTGGACAGTCAATCTGCTAAAGCAGTTTCATTGCACAGCTGATATAAGCACATAATGAGCAAACAATGATTCACAAACTTCTAAACCCGGGTAAAATTTAACACTCACGAGCAGTCCACATTATACTTGACTCAATCAAGTCATTTATGACAGCAAACATATTTCCCTTGTGATCTTGAGTACAAAACAAGGCAGAGGTCCAGGGACAGATAGAGGTGCATTGTGATGAGACACCATTGAACAACCAATGATTTTGCAGAATGTTTCGGCTAGTTAGCTTTTTTTGTCAATGTTTGTCTTGTGGAAGTAACGTTGACTTTTCAAAAATTTGGCTTCAGTCATATTTCCTGTTCAACAATTTCTGAAAACAATCTGGTAAGTCAATGACACGTATTTCAGTGACAATACTTGAAGAGAACACTAGCAATGTTTGAAACTGGCTACAGGCGTTTAAAAGAAAAAGAAAGCCTATCAATGTCTGACCTTGGTTGGAATGTATGTCAAAAGTAAAGAATTAAAGTACTGTGTTGCCAAGCCCCGCCGCGGTGGTCTAGTGGCTATGGTACGCGGCTGCTGACCCGCAGGTCGTGAGTTCGAATCCCGGATGTGGCGGCTGCATTTCCGATGAAGGCGGAATGGTTTTAGGCCCGTGTGCTCAGATTTGGGTGCACGTTAAAGAACCCCAGGGGGTCGAAATTTTCGGAGCCCTCCACTATGGCATCTCTCATAATCATATGGTGGTTTTGGGACGTTAAACCCCACATATCAATCAATTACTTTGTTGCCGAGTCATCACGCATTCAAGCTTTTCATGAAGCATATTACATATGTCAGCAGCAGGTGGACATTCATCATCTAAATTTAGACTGCTACGACATGCGCTTGTGTGTGTCAAGTGGTGCTTCCAACACAACAGAGTTTCCTCAAGCAAAATGAATACCTTACCCTCCTCCCCGCTCTAATAATGATCCCAAATTATTTTGATCACCCGTTGTCAATAGGAAACCGATAAAACAATAGCGATCTTAAAATCTTTGGGTTAATCCATCAAAGAGTCGCGCAAAACAAGTGATTACCTGATCATACCATCTTCGATTAATGCATGATCGGCATTCTGAAGTCACTTTCCGAGCAACACCTTATGATTTCTTGAATCTTGATCCACCAGGTGTGAAGAACTTAGTTGCGAACCAAAAAAACAGATTAGCCATGTTTGTATTTGCTTGATAAATCAGGTTCAACGTCCAAAACCCAACATATAGTTATGAAAGACGCCGTGATGGAGGGCTCCAAAAATTTAGACCTCCTGGGGCTCTTCAACGTGCACTGAAATCTAAGCACATAGGCCTAGAGCATTTTCGTCACCATCGAAAATCTAACCGCCGCAGCCGCAGTTCGATTCCGTGAACTGCGAGTCAGCAGCGCCTTAGCCACTAGGCATTTCCGAGTGAGTAGGTGATGAAAACGCCTACTTAATCTTCAATTAGGCACATTTTTACTAGGACCACTTCAATAATGAATCGGCGACCAAGCATGTGAGAAAATTAAGCTTTTTGCAAATTTCTCGCCACCTGTACACTTCATTTTTCACCTTAAATTATTTTCAGTCTACCATAAAGCATTCTGGCAATATATTCTAGAGTCAATTATGAAATTTCTTTGAATGTTGTTTCTTTATAAAAAAGCTTCAATACGGACCATAATATCCATATTCGAGGCCGCATGAAAAACCTGCCTATCATTTGTTGGGCGAAAAAAATGCAAATAATGTTTTGGTAAAGCTCTCCTGTTTTTTAGGTGGAGGGTTTTAATTTTTTTCAAGCAGATCACAGATGGTAAAGCGCAAGTGTTGGAAAAGTTGGCGTGGAATGATGCTTGAATACTTTTTTCGCTGTTTTTATCTTTTTTCGTCACTCTCTTTTTCTTTTATTATCATTCCATTTATTTTTCTAAATTTGCATTGTCTCGATTTATTTCTCTTTTTAGCGTTGTCTTTTGATCTCTCTGTTCCTTTTTTCTCTATTTCTCTCTTTTTGTTTCGATGTAGAAGATGAAGACGACGAGGAAAACAGGGCGCGCAGGCTTGGGTGCTATTCTGGACACTGTCTTACACTATGTACAGCTTTCGTCCCCAATTGTCAGCGCAGGGCATCCTCCTCCAACTAAAACATGAGATCGTCAACCAACCCAGCGGTATCATTCAAGCGGAAAGGGCCATACTTGCAATTGATTTCAAGGGTGCCTTTGACAATGTTCGGCACTTCACTATCTCGGAAAACTTACGGGAAATCAGGTGTGGTCCAAAATATATGCATAAGTGGGGACTTTCTTACAGACAGACAAGTCCCTATCTGCATAGGGGGCCTTAAATCTCAACCCATCACCATGGGTGATTTCGGTACTCCCCAAGAGGCTGTCCTTTTCCCGCTAGTCTTCAATATCGCCCTCATGCGCCTTCCGGAGGCCCTAAATGAAATTTCACAAGTACGCCAAGCCGTATATGCTGATGACGTCAAAATCTGGAGCTGGTCCGGTAACCTGGGTCAGATAGAAAATGCCTTCCAACAGGCTGCCTCCATCGTAAAAAAGATGGTACGCAAGAGTGGTCTGGAGTGCTCCCCACCAAATCAGAAATCCTCGTATATAGGAATAAGGCATCTGACAATACATCCCTCAACGTACGTCTCAATGAAATGCAAATTAAAGAGCTTGAAACCATCTCAATTCTGGAAGCCCACTTCAGTATTCGGGGCAACAACTCATTTCCTTTACATAAAATAAAAAAAAAAACGTCCTGCCTACAAATCTCTCACATGATTAGTCGGGTGGTTAACCGCCGACGAAGGATGAAAGAACACGACTTAATGCGACTTATTCAGGTATTTGTTATCAGCCACATAACCTATAGCTTTACTTACCTGAGGGTCTTGAAAGCAGACGAGCACAAAATAGACACTTATACGTGTGACTCTCAAGAAGGCTCTGAACCTTCCCCCGTGGGTCCTCACGGAACGTCAGCTTCAAATGGGGCTCCCCGACACCGTATCAGAACTATTCCATGCACACCACGCGAATCAAGTGATGCGCCTCGCCATCACTAAAACGGGACGAAAAACGCTATCAGAACTTTGAATCGAAGCCCCCATTGAGATAAGGGAAAACAACGTACCTCACATAAACAGGGGCAAGACTTCATCATCAAACCAATTTCACGCAACATGCATCCTCAGTTACACGAACATCGACGTCGGGCATGAGCAAAAGTTCACGACAACTACTCAGATACAGAGGGCACCTTCTTTGTCGATGCAGCTGTACCAGTGAACGGCAAATATACAGCAAGCGTCAGTCATTGTGCGAAGCAGGTTGATTGTATATCAGCCCAGGACACAGACACAACTAGTATGAAAGAAGCAGGAATCAACCTCGCCCTACGAAACCCAAGGTCCACTTTTGTTCTAAAGAGCCAACCACTCGCACGCGTACGCCTGCGCCTACGCGTCAAAAGCGTCTAGTCGCGCCTATGGAGGAAAAGGGCGCGCAACCACTGGTACACGTCGGCACTCGCGCCTGCTCGCGTCGCGCCTAGCTGACGCGCAGTGTTGCTAGAGCTTTTGATGTGAAACTGCCAAAGCATTGCCTGGAAAGATTGACTTTTCAAACATTTTTTACTCTTATTCAAGCCATGGAGGAGCTTTTTTTAAATCAAAATAGTATATTTTATAATTGAATTGACACTTTTCCTAATTATTTAGACTGTTCATTAGAAATCAAGCCAATAGTGTCGACTGTATTCGCGTGTCATCCACATCAACATCAGCTCTTCGCGCCGATTTATGTTCTTTCTTCGTGTGTGCTCCTGTTGACGGGTGGATGTGTGTTTGACTGTTTCACGAAGCTTTCCTCGTGCGTTTCTCGCAACCATGCCTGCGTTGTCGGCAGTTTCCCGCAGGAATAGAACAGTTTTCACTTCGATACTCCTCATGCTGCTCATAAAAAAGAGGAAGCAAGTACGCGAGCAGCGGCAGCCTCGCCGTTGGTGGATTCGCCCTGTTTTCTTGGCGCGTAAGCAAGAAGGCCTCTACCACACTGCGGTAAGTTCTTCAGGTCTTTCTTGACCTCGTTCAGTCTCATTTTAACGTGACGTCGTGCTGTTCGATCACTCCTGACTGAAATAAACAGCAAATGACACCTATGACATAAAATGAAAGCAAAATAAATAAAGCCAATAATACGATATACCAATAAACATGCAAGGAAAAGAAATAAACCAAGCGAGTGACAACCACGCCTTTTGACAATAGAGCACTTATAATACGTATGTTTTATTCAAACCCCATGACCTCTTGAAGCGTTTTGTTTTAGTACCAAGTGAGTGCACAGCTAATTGGGAAATGTTGCATGTATGCCCCAGCAAACTTCTATGCATTTAGTCGTAGGGCATATTCAGCTATAAAATGAAAGCTGCAGAGATAATTCCGCCGAAGGAATACTGTATTATATCTGAAATTTCATATGTGCTTGAATGTTCGATGAGGGATTTGGCGTTAAGATAGGTACATTGCTGGTTCCCGTTCATTTTTTTTTCTGTAAGAATCTGTTCAATCACTGTAATCTGCTTTTGTTTTCAACAGATGAAACGGATGCGCGAAGGCGATCATGAATTTTTTTTTAAGTTCTATCGAATGACGCCAGCACTTTTTGATGTGCTGCTCAGATTTGTTGCTCAGGACCTGACAAAAATCCACGTGTCGAGGGAAACTCTCGAGCCTGGTGAACGGCTTGCAATAACCTTGAGGTTAGTGATATTGAGGTAAAACATGCCACATAGCATTAACTGAATGCAAATGCCAAAAAAGATAGCTTTGAATCACTTTATTTGTTCATTGTTTCATGTTTATTGTTTCAGTTACCTTGCATCAGGGCAAGATATCCCCTCTGTTGCTCTGGCGTATCGAGTGGGAATCGAAACTGCCCGCTTGTGCATTGATGAAACGTGCGAAGCAATCTGGGAAAGGCTAAAAGATCATGTCATGAAGGTAAGCGGTTCACAATTCCACTTTGATGTTGGTTACCTGGCGTTGAGGTATACGCGTAGATTTGAGCCATCACGGTGGATAGACAGCAATTAATTGCTTCCCAATACAAGCAGGAAACGCATGATAGACCACAATATGCATTGCAAACTTATGCATCCAGAATAAATGCTCACTGCCACCCTGCTGGTTTCTTGAAACACTGTTCACTTACGACTCTTCTGCCCAAAGAGTAGGCCACTCTTCTGTGTATTTGTTACTTCTAATATCTTGCATGTGTTTCAAAAACGTGCAGGTACACTCATACCACTCACTGCACCTAACCTTTTGTAATACTTGGCTGCACTTCCCAACTCTGTGTATCCTTTTTTCGCAATATAACATACCTTCTCACAATGTTATAGGCCCAGGCCCACTTTTTCTCTAAATTTCTACCAGGATACCAGCAAGCTCTCCTTGCTCTGTGATCCGCCAGGATGTAATGATGATGAAATGTGTAGTTGTACTAGTCATGCGTTTTAAACGTTGTTACAAGACGTCTGTAAATTGAACTTATTTTAAAGCATAATTCAATATTTTTCTTTCTTCTGTGTCTGTGTTTTTCTCTTTTTTTGCCTAAGCACTGCAAATTCATCAGAGTGCCATATTCTAACTAGCCCAGCACAATGTGTAAGTTATTTTTTCTCAGCCATGTATTGTAGGGGAGCTTAGTAGACTCATCTGGATTCTCTCTGTGCTAAATTTTTCATCTATGTTTACACAAATACTGTAGCTGATAAGCGCAACATTTACATAAAAAAGGACATCAAAAAACTGAAATCACCAGATGGGCAAAATGAGGTATTAGTCTAGTTGATTTTTGAACGATTTTAAACTTCAGTAAAATTACAAGGTTCACAAAGCTAGAGAGGACACATGGTGTGAAGCACACATGAGTGGTGTTGCGTCTTTCCTAACTTCATGCGTCTTTTGTAATTTGGTGTACTGTACAACTTTAGTGCAGTAAATCACCAGATTGACTGCCTCTGTTTAATGAGGGACTCTTGCAATGAGAGAAAGAAAATTGGCGCGAGTCGCATGACAGCAGTGTAAAGTACGTGGCTTTTATTTGAACGGATTCTGCTGAACCCCGTTTTGAAAATCACTGCTTCTAATAATGTGCTCTCTGCATATTTGTTTTGTCGCATTATAGGTTCTTTCTTGTTAAAGTACGACATTTTTTGTTTGTACATCCAGACACCTACCAAAGCAGACTGGCAATGTATTGCCAAAGTCTTTCATTCACGGTGGCAGTTCCCAAACTGCTTGGGTGCCGTTGACGGGAAGCATGTTGCTATTGTATGTCCACCAAAATCTGGCAGCAAATTCTTCAACTATTAGGTAAAAGCTTACCTGGATTCTCCCTGTGCATTCTCAACTAAATTTTTCATTTATGCTTCCACAAATACTGTAGCTGATAAGTGCAACATGAACATAGAAAAGAAGATCAGAAAACTGGAATCATCAGATAGGCAAAATTAGATATTGGTCTAGCTAGTTTTTGGTTGATTCTAAACTGCAGTAAAATTACAGGGTTCACAAAGCCAGAGAGGACACATGGTGTGAAGCATACACAAGTGGTGTTGCGCCTTATCTAACTTCATGCGTCTTTAGTAACTTGGTGTACTGTACAATTTTCGTGCAGTAAATCACCAGACTGACTGCCTCCGTTTAAGCAAATAGTTGTTATATATGCCACACTTTTGAAGATACGTGAAACCTTAACATAGATAGTAATTATTGTACTGCTGTTATTCACTGTGGCTGTACAGATAGGTCATGATGTGGTTTTTTTGTTGTGTTTATTGTTTCAGGGCACATTTTCCATAGTGCTGATGGCTGTGGTGGACAGCGATTGCAAATATGTGCTTGTGGACATCGGTGCAGAAGGCCGCCAAAGCGATGGGGGAATATTCAAGGAATCATCCTTTGGTCGTGACCTGTCTAAAGGCCGCCTTGACATTCCAGCAGTTGGCACCCTACCAGGCACTTCCACATGTTTGCCTTATGCCTTTATGGGAGACGAGGCTTTCCAGCTTCGTAAGAACTTTATGAGGCCTTACCCCGCAAAATGCCTCAATGACACTATGAGGATTTTCAACTACAGGCTCAGCCGAGCAAGGTATTGGATTGTTTCTCTGATTCGTTAACCTCATGTCTTCATAGCCTTCATTCGCAAAAAGAGCCCATCACGTGCGATTGAACACGATAGCTTAACCTGTGGATCTTAGTCAACCAAGGGCATTTGCAGAACTTTTATGCTGTGGGAAGGAGTGCTGGTGCACCGAGTTACCACAAAATAGGCACTATTTTCTGTTAAAACTGCGCACATGAAATCAAACGTAAAACAGGGCAGTAGTAGCCAAGTTTTAGGAGATACTCTGCATTATCTTAGTGCTGAGAAGATTGTGTCCGTCAAAAATAAAGCGTTACGATCACTTCACGAAAAAAGCTCTCTGTGCAGGGTTGACTTGTGCTAAATGGTCACCAGCAAGTAGCACAATATGTTGAATACATCTACCTGCAGTTAACCTTCGTATAGTAGGTGCACACACCATGTGTTTCAGTGAGAAAATTGTATGATGAGACTTGTGATAAAGTCATTGCTGCATTTCAATACATGACGTATGCTGTACACACTCATCATAAATGCTTGTGTAGTTACAGTATTTGAGGTTGATTCTATTGATTAGAGCTCCTCGAATGCTTTGACTACGGCCGGACATTGCTGAGCGAAGATCTTAACTTGCATTTTGCAGATCACGTCATATTACCATGCAGTAGGTTGGGCAGCAACTTCCTTCTGAGCGCACATCATGAAAAAGTGTTACTGTACATGTGATGACCCCCGCAATGTTTCACATTTCACGGAAAAATTGTAATCGTTGATCACATGATCAAATTTGTGGCTTAGACAGTGGAAAAGAGGTGCATTTGGAAACTCCTTCTGTGTTATTCTATTCACTCCAGCTTCTATTCCAGCCATTGTAGAGAATCTGTCGTACTACTATTATTCCACAAGGTTCAAAATAATCAGCCCAGCATCGGTTAAAAACTTCAAGGTTGTAGTGGTGATACAAGCAAAGTTCAGTAGCTAACATTCGAAAAAATAGAAGATGCAGAAATGGACAAAGAGTGCCTTTTGCTAACACTGAGTACACAAGCCAAACTTCATAGTGCTACTGCCGTTAACAGTAATAAGCCCTCGTCTGGTGTTTCATCTTTCTCAGTCATACGTGATTGTGCCGACAACGGGTTAATCAAAATAAATTTGGTTGAACACTTGCTGTCTCTATATAGAAATTTAGAGCACTATACTATTACAGTACAATACTCAAGTGCAGCAGCCTGTAACAGAATGGTGTAATGAAGGGACAGCTGGTACATCGTACTACGAGGAAACAGTGAACAAAAATGGCGACGGCGAAAAACTCGGAACTTGGATTGTTCATTCCTTCATCCCATTTTCACACTGTTTTCTGACAGTGGGCTGTAAAAGATGGAGAAAGTATTGCACTAAATGGGAAATAGTCTTTCATCACATTGTGACAAATGGCTCACCTGTCACAACTACTCGGCATTACCACACCACTACTTTTATCTTGCAAGCACTTTCCATTGCCTTGAAGGCACCATAGTGTGTCATGTCTTCATTCGCTGTTGCAACATTTTTCTTTTTCGTCTGCAGACGCTGTGCAGAAAATGCCTTCGGCATCACTGCTGCCAGGTGGAGGATACAGCTTCGCACCATATACGTGCAGCCCAGCCATGTGGACTTCGTGGTGAAGGCCGCCTGTGTCCTCCACAACTTTCTTACTCTATACAACCCACATGCCCATCAATTCTTGGACAGAGAAGACAGTTTCAGAAACGTTGTTGGAGGGCGCTGGCGGCATGGTGTGCAGCATGTGCCAGACAACAGTTTCTTTGCCATGGCTCAAACACAGGCACGAAACTACGATGCTGATGCAGGTGCTGCAAGAAGGTTGTTCGCTAGCTACTTTTCCAGCACGGCAGGCCAGGTTCCTTGGCAGTGGAATCTACCAGGACTGACAAAGAAGCAGCCCTCCTAGACACTTGTTCTTCACTGCCAGTTCGGGCAAGGACGCACAGCTGGGTCATCACTTTCCTGCCTAGCATGGCACTGCTTGCCCATTCTTCAGTGTGACAGCTGCTCTTAAGGGGGTATGGTAGGGTGAACCCAGCAAAAAATTTAATTTGCAGTCTTGACACCAAAAAATTCACTGTACTCTGAGGAACGAAGCTGTTGAAGCCCGACGTTGAGAAGCCACTCCACGCGGTTTAAATTCCGCACCGTAGTGTGCCACGCGACCTCTGGCGTAAGCAGTATGTGGATGTAAAAATAAGTTTTTCTCAAAGTGCGTTTTCTGTAAATTTTTCAACTTCAACCTACCTTTTCTCAAAATGTACCGAATTGATTTTTATAAAACTTTGTATGCGTGAGCTACAACAAGTTAGTAAATATGGTTACATTCTTTTTGCTGTTGCAGAGAAAAGGTACAGAAAAGGTACCAAACTTTTTTCTCTGTGGAACTCAAACTCAATTTCTCAATTTTTCTCAATTTCACTCACTCAGACTTGCCAAAATACTTCACTTACTTTGGCTCAGACTCGCGGCTTGATGCCAGTGTGAGGGTTCTCTCACGAGTGACTTTGCCTATCATTTGACTCCTCACGCAAATCAGCTTTTCACTTTTCTTGTTTTCTGTGCTCCCTGGCTCATCTTGTCATACCTTCTATTCTCCTCAAATTTGAATGTGTTCTTGTAAATTATTCTTCAGTGAAAAATAAATTTTTATTTTACTAATTCCACATGTTGTGAATTAAAGCGGTGTTATTTTGACACAAGCTGGGGCAATGTAACATTTTCAGTGACTCTGCAATGGTCTTGTGCCTTTGCAAAACCGTATGTTTAGCGAGTGCTACGAACTTCAATCGGACAGAGCACACAAGCTACCAAGTGGATGCTCAATGTTACAAGGGGGGGAGGCAGTGACAAGTTATACGATCACTGGAACCATAACATATTCATTGAATATTTTAACTGCCATTGAATACTTTGACTGCATAGAAAGCCGTGGCTACCACAGTACATAAGCATCTTTCTACAAGACATAGCAGCGCCGCTGTGTGTCATGAAACAGTGCATCGGCTGTTGCTCAATCGATCCACCATATTGTACACTCGGGGGAATAAAAACAAAGCATCCCTATCAACTACACTTGTACGGCAATGAATGAATTTGTTGGTGTGATTGATGAAACAAATATCGGTCAGCTTCTTGTATTTAACTCTCTCATTCCTCTGCGCTGCGACACAAATGTAACCCAGCTTATTGGCAACCATAAAACCAATGTCAACGCTGTTTCAACTTCCTACTTTCTTAGGCCCTTGAGATACCGTGCACAATGAATGTACAGTATCCCAACAATAAGTTTATTCCTGTTGCCTTCTGCAACCATGCTCGGGTTTGACATTATCGACTTCTTCAAATGCTCAGTGACAGCAGTCAGTGTATCAAGAGGATAACCTAAATCTAAAAGACCATAACCTGTGCTCGTGAGGGCCAACTTAAGGCAAGACATAGCTGAATCGTTTATAACCTTTAATTGCTTTGACGAGAAATTTAACACCGGTTTTAACTCCAGCTTACTTTAAAACTAAATTAAATTATATTAAGACTAATACATATGTCTATTAATCTAAAGACATTTAGGTTTCAATATTTGTCTTTTAAAACCCAACTCGGACAATGTCTGAGATCGATGGGTTCGAACAATTATATTTATTCTCGTCTCATAAATAAATGCACTTCATCAATACAATATCTATGGAGTGCAAATAAATCTGACTCATACATATGGAAATGGCTAAGCCTTTACATTTACAGAGAACTTGTAATTGTCCTTTTGAAAGGGTATTGACAAAAAGTTTTCACTTTGTTTTTTTTACAGCCAAGGAAAGGCCAAGCACTCAGAAGCCTAGAAAATGTACCGCAATGCGCAAGTGTGCCCTCAAAAACTAATTATAGTGTTCTGAAAGCTAGTTTCAACTCCTAGTGTCCCCTGTCGTTGCAACAAAGTATGAGCTTTTCGTTACGTGCTAGTGCAAAATATGGTCACATTTCCACGAACCAAGCAGCCATCTCAGAAGTTCCAGTACCAGATATCTTCACAACTAGCCAGAATGCAGCGGGAAGTCACCAAAATTAGTACTCAAGTCGCGACGTCAACTTAGTGTCGATGTTGTAAGGTGCCCTGCGAGAAATTTGATTTTAATGTTGAAATGAAATACCTTATCAGAATTTGCCGAGTGTTATACTTTCTCGGAGTCGTCTGTGTATACAGGAGATTAGTTAGTCAGACCAAACTCGCCTTAGAAATATGGTGTCGGTACCCCTTAAGTTATGCAGCAAAAGCAACTGTACTTTTCATTTACGTTAGTAACTTACGTGTTGCAAACATTTTGCATGAGTGCAGCCGCATTAGCAATGAAATGCAGGCGCATTGTGGCATAAATGCTTTGTGTCATACTGTAAGTACAGCTCATCACAATACAAGCATATAATTCACGAATGACCATGTGAAGAAAGCATACCTTGGTAATTATTACTGAAGTGACATTTATTATAAAGGACAGACATCACCAAAATGACGTATATTTCCCAAATTCATTCTGTGCAACCCTGATAATATTTACAATACACAAATAAATATAAAAATAAGTCACAAGATTAATGACTAAATCACATATTTCATGACTAAATAAAGGGGCCATGTCACAATCACTCAAAAACTTCACTTTCAGTGAACACTAAAAGTAAAAGGTATATTATGCCCAGACTGCTTATAAAAAGCAAACCTTAAAATATTACAATAAAAGAAAACCTTGCCCACCCCCAGCGACTAGCCTTTTGCCATGACGAACGTGACAATGCACATTAAGGAGCGTAGCCGTTCTGTTATACCAAAGTTTCAGCTGCAGCAAGTATTCCAATTTCAGTGCCGAATGGAACAAGGCTAA